GCCAATGGTTGTCTTGCCAGCTCCAGACAGGCCTGTTGGAGGCAGAGCAGCGAGGGTCAGGTGTGAGGGTATAACATGAGACCTCCTGGGACACCGGCAGTGAAACTCTTCTGTCTGAAGTTGCTCCAGGAAGGAATGAGGAAGGGAAGTTGGATTCATCTTTTTAGCACACCTGGGTCAACCCTTCTTATTAATCATGGAACCATAGAATCAGCCGAGTTGGAAAAGACCTCGGAGATCATCAGGTCCAACCCTTGATCCAACCCCGCCGTGGTTCCCAGCCCATGGCACTGATGCCACATCCAGTCTCACCTTCAACACCTCCAGGGATGGTGACTCCACCTCCTCTCTGGGCAGCCCATTCCAATGGCTGGTTACCCTCTCTGTAAAGAATTTCTTCCTAATATCCAACCTAAACCTCCCCTGACACAGCTTAAGACCGAGCCCCCTTGTCTTGCCATGAGAAAAGCTGCTACATCCCAATGTCTGGAGGGGCTCAACCCAGCAGTGCTGCAAAAGCACCTCTTGCTGGGCTGTGGTGGGACAAATAGGCACCAGGAAGTAGGGGAAGTTTGGAAGGGTGCTGTTGCCTCCTCTTCCTCCTTCTGTTCCCACTGAGAGCCAACTGCTCTTCCAGACTGAACCCAAGGAAAGGCTCTTGCAGCAACTGTGTGGGGTGGGACAGGCCCCAGCAGCAATGGCCCCTCTGCATCCACAGACACTCCTTCTCCAGGTGCATATTTCAAAGAATAATCACAAGCCAGAGAAGCTCAAACCTTTCAGACACAAGACTTTTTGTGTGATACTCTAAGGAGAAGGAAATTGCCTTGGACAGGTTTTTTGAAATTGAACAGAAGTTGAAGAGGAGAACAAAACAGAAATGTGTTGTAATCCAACATCTACCACCTAAACTGACAGGAAGGCAAATCAGAATGGCTTTACAAACCCTCCCAAGCACGTCCTTCAACATCCTCCATCAACAAAAATGCCAATATTTAACAAGCAAAGGAACAACTGGACAAGTGGCAAAAGACAGAGTTGTCTAAATATTAGAAATGAGAAATGCAATTGTCACTTCCAGCAGCCCCTAATCCCCAAACAATGAGTTTGTATTTCAAAGCAGAGGAGAAGGGCAACAAAACATAAGCAAGGAATTTCTTCCAGTGGGACTGGTTGGGAGTATTTACTCTCCAGACAAGGTGACTGCCTTGTGCTGCCTTACACACAGCAAACCTGCATGTCCCAATAAACTTCCCACCGCCCCTGAATGAAAACATCCGCATTTTGGACAGCCCTGGGCACGTTTCACTGCCAAGGACTGGCTGGGTTTGAGCCAAGGCTTCCTCAGCTACACACTTGGGAACAACAAGTGCTCCCCTTAGGGCCTCTGACGTGTTCAAAGGAGCCTGATAACAGCTGGGAAATTCATCAAAACACCAGCTCTGGGCAGCAGCTGCCAGGGAGAACATCTTGCTGCGCCAGCACCGCGTGTCTGTGTTTCCCACGTGTGAATGTTTTGCAATTCCCAGCTCCCAAGGAACGCTGACGTTTCCTGTGGATCCCAGATCCCCTCCTCCCAGCCGTGCTCGTGCAGGGAGTTTCACAGGGGACGCCAGGCTCTCACACCCAGCTGGAAGTACCTGTCAGCCAAACGGTGCAGCCTCGAAATCCTCCTCTGGTACCCACAACTTGTCCTCTCTTACTCCTGCTCACATGGTGGGCTTGGTAAACCACGTTGGTTGATCCCTGAGGAAAACAAAGCAAAGCATTTTCGTACCGAGAGCAACAAAGAAAACCTCTGCTGAGACTGAGAGATGGGAGAGAAATGCAAATTCATCAACGAGCCACGCAGCAAACTTCAGTGTAAGTTGGATTTGTGTCCCAGCAGCACAGAGTGAGCTGTTGAAGGCTCTCTGCCTGTGCCCAGAGTGCTCCTGGTGGCGATGCCTCGGTGCCCGTGCCTCGCTCTGCTGCAGGAGCACTGCCAGGGAGGGGAGGGAGGACACAGAGCCCAGGCACAGAGACACCCCACCTTTTCCACATTTTAAACCACAAACAAACTCACCAATAATTTGAACTGTGTTTGCAAGACAGGGGCAACGTCAGGTGCTCGTTCACCTGCTGTGTTTGGCAGAAGCTGGCTGTTAAGAACTGGGGCAGGAGACGGCGACACGGCAGCGCTGAGCTGAGCGACGCTGGGGACACACGGCCATGGGAGGCAGGGGAACAGCACCTGGGGGGTTTGTGGGCACTTCCCAGAGCAAACAAGGGACTGGCACAACGCTGAGCCACAGGCCTGAATTTTGGTGCTTCCTAATGTTGCCCACCCCGGCCTCTCCACTGGATGCAGATGGAACTGTGCCCTGCAGCTCCAGCAATGGCAGCTCAACGAGGAATTGTGCACATAAAGTATCTGCAAGACCTTATTCATTGCAAGGATCATCTTTCTAGTTGAGGTATCCAATGGAAAGTAGCAGGAGGGAACAAGGACATAAATATATCCTGGAGAAAGATGTATATTGGAGGAGCGAAGGTTGTGTGGAGACCTCACAGCACCTTCCAGGGTCTGAAGGGACCTATTGGGGAGGCCAGAGAGGGAATGTTCATCAGGAACTGGAGTGACAGGACAAGGGGGAATGGTTTCCCACTGCAGAGAGCAGGGTTAGATGGGATACTGGGAAGGAATTGTTCCCTGTGAGGGTGGGGAGGCCCTGGCACAGGTTGCCCAGAGAAGCTGTGGCTGCCCCTGGATCCCTGGAAGTGTCCAAGGCCAGGCTGGATGGAGCTCTGAGCAACATGGAAGGTGTCCCTGCCCATGGCAGCGGGTGGAACTGGATGAGCTTTAAGGTCCCTTCCAACCCAGACCATTCTGGGATTTGATGAAAAACTTAAAACAGCTCTAGACCCGCCCCTGAAAAAGCGAGTGAACACTGCACATCCTGTGACTCAGAGAATAAAAGATAAGTAGCTCAAGATCTGGTTTTTGTGGTTTGTTCTGTTCTGCTGTTTTTCGTGGGGTTTTTTTTGCAGGGGGGGGTGTCAAAAGTCAGAACATTTTTCGAGCTTGCACAGGTGAGACAGCAACACCATGGTTTCATTTTCACCTGTCCCTGGGGCTCAGGCTCCAGCAGAGACCAAACGACTGACACGAACGAGCAAGGCTGATATTTCCGCGTGGAGAAACGAACCTGCACACTTGCAATCTCTCTTTTGCATCAGCAGGGACTGCAGCCTTTGCAAAGTGTTGATGTGCTGGCTGTGTCCTGCAGGAGATGAGCCCCGATACCGCGGGCAGGTGCAGGATCTGACACATTCCTCGGGGGCTGACGTAAGGAGCCTGCTGTGAGTACACGTTGCTGTGCCAGAAATCTGCGCCGGGAGCGCATCTCAGAGCTGCTGGTTTGCACACTGGCATCTTTTGGGAGCTTGGGGAGGCATCACTGAGGGCATTTTTGCAACTCAGCAACACTGTCAGACCTCTCCTTCCTGCCGGGAGCTCCAGGTGGTACCAAGCCCTCAGATTTTCCAGCTCTGTTAATAATTGTCCTGGGAAACTCTTCCTAACCCTGAGCAACTGGATGGCTGGGCTGGAGGCTTTTGCTTGGCTGGGAATGGGCTGTTTAGTGGGAAACACAGACTTCCCACTTCATAATTCAGCAGCCCTGAAGTGGCTTGGGAAGCCAGAGCTGAAACAAGATGGAAGGGAGTGAAGGCACCAGGAAAAATAAGCATCAATGGCCTGAGAGCAAATCCTGGAGAGATTTCACCTAGGAAGGGCATGTCCTACAAGATGGTTGGGAGGCAGAGAGAAGGGATGAACAGGGTTTAATCAGATGCAGGGCTGTCCTACTGATTTTATTCTCAGGGTTTTAATCTCGTCATCATAAATCAAACATATTTAAACAATTAATCCAATCATCATCACACTTACACCTGCATTTTGGGCCCTACAGCAGGGACAATTTAGGGACACTGGTCAGCAGGTCTTGGAATAGTCTAGATCAAGGAAGTGAGGTTTGGAAGAGGAATTCTTACCTATAATTCAGTCCCAAACAAGGCAATAAATGATCCAGCAGGTCTATAAAGAAGAGCTGTGCAGCCTCTGCCAGACAGATGGTTAAAGAGGACACTGCCACACTCTCCCCTTTCCTTGAAAAACTGCTGTTTGGGCCTGTCTGGATGATGTCAGTGCTCAGCCCACCCCACCTTAGCTCATCCAGGAAATTGGGAAAAAATAAAGACATCACTCCAAACCTTGTAACTGAGGCTGCAGTGGACCAAGAAACCAAATCTGAACTCTGCTTTTGGTCTTCCCTCCTACTGAACCCTTCCACGAGGTTGGCAAACTGGGAGACACCAAGATCTCGGCTCTTTAAGATCAGGTTTAACTAAGCTAACTGCCTAGTGTCTCCTCACCTGGTTTCCAAAGCAAACAAGCTTTTCATCAACCATCCTGATGGGACAAGATGCTCCCCTGCTTTGTGAAAGCAGGTTGCAGGCAGAGCCAGGAGGTTTTTCCTTAGTGCTCCTCCTGAATAAAGAGATGGGAACTCTGAGACAAGAGAGTCTTCTGAAAATCAGGAACCATCAGTGTCCTCTGCTCCAATTCAGTGTCCAGAAAAGCGACCTCAGCTCTTCCTGAAGTATTTGGCCTGGAGGGGAGTAGCTGTCCTTGCCCACAAAGTTGTGTGTGACTGTTCTCAGGAGATGAGAGGAGAAGATGCTCCCTGACAACACATCTGACAGCTAAGAGCACGAGGGGTGGGGGACCTCTCCCAACCACTGCTGATGTTTGTTGGGAGCAGAACTGCTGCACAAATAGCAGAAAATGCACCAGACAAACAACATTTGTGATCATAGAATTGTAGAACTGCCAAGTTGGAAAAGACTTTTAAGGTTATCAAGTCCAACTATCAACTAAACCACATCCTCAAGTGCCCACTTTTTCTTGAACACTTCCAGGGATGGTGACTCCACCACTTCCCTGAACAGCCCAATGCTTTACAACACTTCCCATTAAAAGAAAATTTCCTAATATTCAATCTAACCCTCCCCTGGCACAGCTGGAGGCCGTTCCCTCTCCTCCTGTCCCTTGTTCCCTGGCAGCAGAGCCCGACCCCCCCCGGCTCCCCCCTCCTGTCAGGGACTTGCAGAGCCAGAAGGTCCCCCCTGAGCCTCCTTTGCTCCAGGCTGAGCCTTCCCAGCTCCCTCAGCTGCTCCTTTGTTGCCCTTTTGTGTTTAGGGTTATCAAAACAAATTATATGGTTGTTTAGCCATCTTCCACTCGAAACCCAAGTATTTATAAACTCTGTTCCTTAGGCAGCGCCTGCTCCTGCCCCCACATCCCCACTTCTTTAACCAGCCCCTGCAGCATGAATGGGACCAGGGGGAGAACTGGGGGCGAGTGCCACGTGCCACAGCCGAGAGGGAGGTAAAGAGAAGAGACAGGAGCTGAGCAGGACATCCAACAGACCCTCTTAGTGCACACAACATCCTCAGGCCATCCCTTGCTCAGCCACCCACAGAAGGCAGAGCTCTGATCACAGAATCACAGAATCAACTGGGTTGGAAAAGACCTTGGAGATCATCAAGTCCAACCCTTGATCCAACCCCACCATGGTTCCCAGACCATGGCACTGATGCCACATCCAGTCTCACCTTAAACATCTCCAGGCCAGGATCCATTGGCCCTCCTGGCCACCTGGGCACTCTGGCTCCTGTTCAGCTTCCTGTCCATCCACACTCCCAGCTCCCTTCCTGCCTGGCTGCTCTCCAGCCACTCTGTGATGTTGCAGAAGGAGGTTTGCCATAAGGAAGCCAAGCTGGACATCACAACGGCCGAGGAGGTCCAACCCAACATATTCTTCGTGCCCTCAACTCACCCCCTGCCGCCACAGGAGCACCTCTGCCTGCTGCAGCTGGCACAGGCAGGGCGCTGGAAGCTGTCCAAGAGCCCCAGCTCACGGCAGGCTGCAGCAGCATCCCACTCTGGAGAGGGACTCCCTCCTGAAAACACATCAGCCGAGAACAAAGCCAGGGGAGAAGGGCTATTAAGGGCACGTTAGTCACACATATCCGGCTCACTCCTCTGAGCATCCAGCTGGACACTGGCAGCGCTCACAGCCCCAGGGAAACCCTGACCCAACAGCCAGGGGAGGGTCAGGACTCCCCCAGCTGCATCTTTATTCATAGGGCTAGCTCACTGCACCAGCAATATGATTCATTTCTTTCCAGTGAAGCATTTCATACACACCCTATTTCGGTCCCGCAGCCTGGACATGTCTCCAGGAAGGGAAAAACAAGGTCAAAATAAAAACAGAGGCTTTCAAAAGGTTTTCAGCTGATCCTATTTTGCAAATGGCAAAACGGGCTTTTCAAGTGATAAAATGATCCAAGCAAGCTTTCACTTGCACAGGCACATGGTGGCATTGTTGGGGCCAGGAGATGGACTCCAGGACCTTGGGGGTCCCTTCCAGCTCAGGAGATTCTGTGACTCCATGACTTTGAAATGAAACACTTGCTTAAGCCTTTGGAGATGGATCTAACTTACTGTTAAAAATCCCCTCCCAAATCCTGCCACCTGAACTGCAAAAGACCTCAAGTTTAAAAGATCTTTTGTCCTACCAGTTGAATTTGAAGCATAAAAATTAAGTTCATCGATGTTTTTGGTAAAAAAGAATTTCTTCTAGCAGGGCAACTCCCACTGGGTGCTCTGGCAAAAGGGTGATACTGTAGTCCATCAGCAA